AAAGATAAACATACACGTAATATATAGTTGGATTGCCGTAAGTGATTATATATACACATCAATAGGTGCACAGGCAACAAATTAAGCGATATGTCAACAGTATTTCGACCTCGTGTTATTACATCAACATTTTTATGGTCAACACAACCCTGTGAACTTGCATGAATATGGTCGTAAGGATAAGGAATGCAATCTTGCGTTTATTCCACCCCTACACGTAAGTCAGCAAAATTATTCCACTCTTACACGTAAGCCAGCAATGTGCCACTGGTTGGTATGCCACAAGAGTTTACCCCTGGTGGGCCGCTGTCGGACTGCCGGGGTATTCATCTCGGCAATGTTATCACTGGCGGAACTTAAGAGGACAACTAGTGGCTTGCCGGTGGCTGCAAACTGATGACCCATCGGCAGCCCACCAGATGAGATGAGAAGGTGAGTGTTATGACATGGGCGCCCAATCTCCTGACCTCAACCACATAGAAAACTTATTGTCCACCTTAAGAGATGAATCTACAAACTTCGAGTAGCGAATATCTTGTCTCTGATAGAAGTACCAAAAGAGTGTTGTTCTAGAATTCCATCTTGCATTATTTGAGCTGGGTATTTTTTTAAACTTTACTTTAGAAAATGTTCCAGTTTCTTCGGAAAAGCGGAAAAACCAAGTTAAATAAAATAGAAATTTCATATCATCACGCCATCATGCTGTTTCATTAATCTCTTCTTTACCATTCATGAAGTTCTTCTTGAGCTGTTCGTAGTTATTTATAAGTTCATGGATACATGGATATTCAATAATGGGAGATATGCTGTCTCCTCTAAGTTTTTAATGCGCTTGGTCAAGAACATGATGTTAACATGCAATGAATTGTGACTCATTTCTTTTGAGCAAATAGTTTTTGTAAATGAATGACAATCTCCTTCCTGCTTCCAGTGTTCAAATTCGAGTATCCGCAACAATCATCTTTATTCTCTTCCATATATTGTATTAATCCAGAACCTGCTATTCCTTTGAGAACATTATCCGCTTTCCATTTGGTAGATGTAATGTTTCAGTTCGTTTATCATAAAAATGCAATGTCCATTTTTCTAAGTGTAGTGTTTACTTTATTTCTTTTTTAAGTTGAATATATTCTTTAATAGTGCATCTATAAATACCATATTGTGAAAGTGTTTCAACATCAGTCCCTTCTTGAGATAACTATTGACAAACATTTGTTAGTTGATAAGTTTGAAGATATTACTAATTTTGTTGCAGGTTTGCTTTTGCTATACTTCTTCCTTTGTTTTGTCGATTGTTCTTCAGAACTTTCGTACTTTTTATATTCAGTCTCTGATTTGATTTCTGATCCAGTCTCTGATTTGGAAGTTGAAGTTGTTGTTATTGTTGATGAAGTTCAATCCAAGTTCACATTTCTTCTTTTGAATGTATAAATAGTTTTAGAACTCGTTGTCTTTCCAGTTGTATATCCAACATGTCCTTTGCTTTTTATCTGAAGATGATATAACAGTCTTTCCTCATTACAGATCCATTCATCATTTTCTTGTGATGTCAAAAATTTCATTCAGTGGATTGTTTCACACATTCATCGTAGGTGTTTATCACTTGATCGGGTTTAGCTTGTATGACTTGAGTTGAAAAGAATTGGGAAATTTTATTTTGCCATAAACTTGTTATCTCTTTTGTGATTTCCTTTTGTACGTTTTTCCTTCCTTTGAGAAATGCTCTAAGGAACAGATAACGACCGATAATTTGGATTTTGAGTGGTTTGCTGCTTTTGTTTTCCAGTGATTGTTCTTCTAGCAGAACCGTTCTTTTCATATGTGATTCTTGAATTCTTCGTTAGCATTTTGTTTCTTATAGTGGTAGAACCACAAGTTTTATAAGACAAATTCAGAAGTTTTTTTTTACCACAAACACAACACACTTTCGCCTTATCTAAGTAACAATGCAAATATAGTTCCGCAAAATGCCCATCATAAATTTTTATAAAGTTCTATTAGGCTCCAGAATTTTTTTAGAAGGTTCCTTAAAGTTCTAGAAGGCTCCAGGAAGTTCTAGAAGTTTCCAGAAAGTTCAAGAAGGCCCCAGAAAGTCATAGTACTGCTATACATATATACGATTAGAAATTTCATATTGGCGCTAACATTTTGAAAAAATAAATTCAGTTAAACCCTTCTTCATTATTTTTTAACAAAAGTTCATCGAATTAAGATAAAGGAAATCATTTATTTTACAAAAATTTATAATGTATATATATATATATATATATATATATATATATATATATATATATATATATATATATATATATATATATATATATATATATATATATATATATATATATATATATAACGTTTTCAGTCCATTGTCTAAATTTCTATGCCCACGCTTGTGAGTGAAAGTAACAGTCATCATGCAGTGTTAATTTCTATGTCGTCTCTATCTACAAACGCTATATCGCTTATAAATATATCTTTCTACCATGCAATACCACATATTAAGCAAATATACTCTGATCTAAATAGACGTACCGAAAATACGCATCTTGCAACTTTTTATGGTTACTGTACTAGTATTAATATATATATATATATATATATATATATATATATATATATATATATATATATATATATATCTTAAGTATGCAGAAATTTCCAGCGAAAACCGGTTTTCAACTGTGTATTCGGGTTACTATACAAAGAAAAGCATGAGATTAAGTATCCTTTTTTTAATTTTATCAGATTTTGCGCATTTAATGAAGACATAGTCATTGACGATTACACATTTGTTACAAAAGGCAAACAAAATAGCATCAGTTATTACACACTGTCTTCTCCTCCGGTATTGACCAGTTTGTTGACGGTGGAATGATTCACGATCAAAGAACATAAAATTTGGGAATTTTCAACTGTAAATTGTGTTCACAGTATTTGTCGACAGTTAACGATTGAAGTGTCGATTGATTATTGGTATCTTTCTCCACTGTCATCTTTTAAAATATGAACTCGTTTACTTAATTTTCGAAAAGAGAACACAACCAACGATCGGAATATTGATTAGCAATTGATTTTGTCTGAACTACTTCCAGGTTCACTATCAAATGCGGTGGATTTTCTCTTATGGCGTAAAAGGAGTTCCGTTGAAAATTTCTTCCAAAGTTGTCTATGTGGGGAATATATATTCAGAAAAATAGAAATACATATCTGTTTGACCGGAAATAATTTTCCCAATATTCAAAATACGCTTATTTAGACAAAAAAAAAAACAACAAAAAAAAAAAAAACACCCCCCCCAAAAAAACAGCATCCGTTTTTATAGAGGTTAAAGCTCCATAATATACGGCAACTAAATAAATCGTAAAAAA